TTTTTTCAAATATAGTTATTTCACTTCACCGAATTTTTTTTCTAGCTCTACTTCAAGCAACACAAAGTCTACACTTGGTCCAAGGGTTCTTCCCAAACTACCTCAAAAAGGTACAGACGTTTGGATATTTTATGTTTTTAGTGCAAGGAGTTGAATTAAAAAGGTATTAATGAGCCACTATGTGGTTACCTCTCCAGTGGCATTGCGTAAGATTGACACCATACACCATCCGTCTGTGGATAAGCCTAGCCTTCCTCCAGAGGTCTTCCAGAAGTCTCCGCCGCCAGCTGAAACCCCGCAGAAGGTTCCTCTGGTGGAGAGGCCTCAGCCGGGAGACCTTCCTCCAAAACCGCAGGTGTCGGAACTCCCCCCTAAACCCGGAGACCTTCCTCCGAAGCCGCAGCTCTCTGACCTCCCTCCCAAACCTCAGCTGGGTGACCTACCACCTAAACCCCAGCTCAAAGACCTCCCTCCCAAGCCTCATCTTGCAGACATCCCCCCAAAACCTGGGTCAGTCGAGTCTGCTCCCAGACCGCCCCACGGAGAGCCAACGCCAAGGCCTCAAATACAGCCTCCACCTCCGCCTCAAACTCATCCTCAACCACAACCTCAACCGCACCCACAGCCTCAAGACTCGCCGTCACCTAATCAGCAGGCAAATATAGGGACCCCATCTCAACAGTCTGCTGAAGACACCAACGGGACCCCTGCAGGGACCCAAGAGACACCTGTGCCCCTCCCAAGGAAGATCACAACGGTATGGACTCGCATATTCTTTCTAAGGGTTCCTCAAATACAGTACTTTTTAAAAAAGAAATAACAGTGTAAACATACACATTTTTACGTCTTTGTATATTTACTCATATATAATATTTCAGCTATCGCGTATATAGATGTTAATCATTGCAAAAGCCCCTCCAGCATAGACTTTCTTAATGCAAACAATGTTAACACAATGCAAATAATGTTAACATCGACACACTACAAACTCCTGCATTCCTAAATGCCTGCCACTTTACAGTATATCAGGTAAACTTGCCATTGTTTTTGTCACCGTATAATCCAGACTGGACCTTATGTCTTTTTTTCAGATTGAAAAGTACAAAAGTTACAAATCTACCTTAAGAGCCTGGGTGTTTTGTCCTCTGTGTCTGAGATAATTTGTAGTTTTAGAGTATAAATGGGTTGAATTCGTTCCCAGTGGAGACTCTCATTGACTCTGCCTCTGAGTGAAGCTGCTTTTATTTAATAAACTCAGTGAAAACACTCCTACAGATCTTTTTATCTGTTGGTAAAACCCCAGAATATACATTTGCTCTGTCACTTCCTCTTTTTTGGTGCGAGATTTGTTCGATAAACAGCATATTTGAGGTTAGGCGTGTAGGCGTTTGATACAATGTGCCAGATATGGCATGGACTTAATTTACAACGCCTGCATTTACATATCCAAAGATAACTATTAGAGTTTGCATGAACATGAGATAAAATGTACAGCTGTGGCGTATTTTCCACTAAATCAGCTGGATTGCACTATGCCAGTACATGACGATCGGATATAAAAGAACCACCACTTGACACCTATGCGACATGTTTTTGTAAACTGTTCCTGTCTTCAAAGGTTTGTTCAGATCTCACCAGATGCTCAGGGACATTTCAGTCTTACAACAAAAACATGGTTACTCTTAAAAAATATCTGTTTTATTGTGTTAAATGTGTCTGGACACATTGTGTTATACTAAATTTAAATACATCTCCGTTATTATTAATAAATTGACTAAATCCTGCAGGCTAGTTAATTAACACGCCTCACTACTACTTGTCATATTCCAGAGACGCCATCCCAATATGTGGAGAGTGGTCACCTTGGGTCGGCGCTGTCCCCGACACCATTAAAGTTAAAGTAAATTTAAATATAGCATCCCAGATACGAACTTCGGAGACAGACTTTTTATTACATCATCACTCCCCATTTTTTCGGTGTAACATATTTGTGGGGAGTGATGATGTCGAAGCCTAGATGCAAACTCTAAATGCGTAATGGTGCCGTTATGAATCACACAAAGCCAGAGTGGTCGGACTGAACTGGTTTTGCTGTTTGTTTCTGTCCAGGGGAAGAACAAAGCCCGGCGGGTGAAGACGATCTACGACTGCCAGGCTGACAACGATGACGAACTGACATTTGTTGAAGGAGAGGTGATTATAGTAACAGGGGAAGAGGACCAGGAGTGGTGGGTGAGTGTGGCCTAAGCGTATCTATCTCGCAGTTTAAACTAATAGAAAAAAAACAAAATCATACAATATTCCTTTCCTTTGCCTCCAGATCGGGCACATTGAAGGAGATCCGGAAAGAAAAGGAGTATTCCCCATGTCTTTTGTGCACATCCTGAGTGACTGACAGCGAGAAAGACTTGCACTACACCTCTGTCCCTAAATTGGGAGGTCCTGTAAATAGCTCTCATAACACCTCTTGTCACAAGACAAGTGTCCTAAAGAAAAAAAAAAACCAACAACACACCAAGAAGAAACCCCACGAAGGCTCATCTAGCCATGGATGCCTCATCCATGCTGTACAAAGAATGTGTGTATTCTTCCTCTACCAGTATTATCTTAACCCTATAGCACGGCTGTGACGAAGCCACTCTCAAAACCCTAGCACTTACCTTAAAGTCTATGTTTATGCTGTTACTGTGTATATATGTATGTAAATATATATATTTGTGTGTGAGTGTACATACATGTTTTATTGTACAAAACATGTACCATTGCTCTCTGCCTGTCAGATTAAGCATCAGGGTGGTAGAGTTTGAATTTTATCTGTATTGATTTTACCGGCCCTCAAATAACTATCTGCTCATATTTCTGGGAAAAGGACAAATATGAAATGGAATGTGAAATAGGTCATGTCATTGTTTGTGTCTTGCATCCCTGTTTACCACCACAATTGACTGAAGAGGCAGGAAGTCTCCCACTGACTCTTCCCGAGATGGAAGAAAGAGAAAAAAAAAAAGTCATTTAATGTACTCCTTGTTCTTGCTTGCTTTGTGTGTACTCGTATTATGGTTGTTTTACAGTATAGAAACCTGCTGCTACTGTGTGGTGGAATATCAACGCCTGTGGTTCACTGTAGGTCACTAATTTACTCCTTGTTACACTGTTCACTGTATGTATGCTCTGTGTGTGAACTCAACGCCATCTCCACAGTCCTTTGACCTTTTTTCTGTGCATGGTGTAACAATGACTGGAAATGAGTGGAGTGCTGCGTTCGACGACGCTCACCTCAGGGTTTGAAGAGCCACTATTAATATAAAGCAGGACTGCGCAAAAGGTATCCTGTTGTTAAAAGCCACTATTAATGACAAGTACGGGAAACTCCAGAGGACATCTTAGCAATAACTTGATTTTTCTGACAGGCTAGAAGTCTCACAACAACCTGTGTTCACAGTTCAGTGTCTTGTAAAAACCTCATGAGCTTGAATTTTTTTCTTTTTAGTTTGAGTCATGTGATATCATTCTCTGTTACTGGATTCAGTCGTAGGCAGTATAAAAGACGGACGGAGATGGCCGCCGGTTTGGGACTCTGTATTTTTGAAGCTTCGGCGCTGTTTTAGTCAGTGCCATGTTAGCTTTTCAAAGCCAGAAGTTACCTTATATGGCACACTGCGTTCATATTATGTATGGGTGTGCTGAGTAACACACTAACGATAATAATACTAGAATTTAACTCTGCAAAATTGAAGGAGAAGCTTCTTGGATGGTCTCTACCACACAGCAAACTGTGATATTAGTTGAGATGATCTATTAAAAATGCTCTGAAAGGCACCAACAGCACAAGTGGACGAGGCCTAGCAGACAACAATTGGGATGCCTTTCGATCCATGTGGTCACACCCCTAACTTATATACCTAGATGGATGAGTTTTTAAAAAAAGTTATGAAGGGGGGGAAGAAACTACCCCTGAGACCAAAAATGTTTGTGTTTTTCTACCAGGCTGTAAACATGCTTCTTAATGCTGTCAAGTTATTTTAACATGGGAGTCTACTCCCTTCTGGAGCCAGCCTCAAGTGGCCACCAGAGGAACTGCAGTTTCCCTGCTGGCTTAGTTTCAGCTCCAGCAGTTGCCCCTTGGATTTAGTACATTTCCAGGTTTACCTGTGAACCAGAGATGTCTTTTTAGACGAGGTGGACTTTAGAGAGCCGATGTATTTTCACCTGGTCCGCACCAACCTGCAGTTCTTCCCATGTTAAGGAACAAACCCATCAACCCATTGTATCATTAAAAGTGCTGTATTTAAACCTTGAGCCTGGTCTTTTATTTGGTCGCCATGTAGTTTTGAGGTTTTTATCGCTTTAAGCCAAGCATTTATTTCTAAAGTTGTTGATGTTAAGCCTGAGAAATTTTTGGGGCTTCTCTGGAATTTTAATTTTGGGGTTACTCAGATAAAAATTTGCAACTTGTGTAAACTCCATCTTACCATCATTTCTATATTAAAAACTTTCACTGCTAATGTTAAATTTCCATAAATATGCTGTTGCTTAGAAGCTGGCGTTTTACTAGCATAGAACTGATTGGAGTTCTCAAAGTGTATTTCAACATGCAGCATAAAGCACAGTTGCAATACAGCGGTGTATATTTGATTCAGGCTTAAACCACTTACGAGGTTTTCTGTTCAAAATTCACACCAAACCAAAAACATTTTAAGTAGCCTTAAATCTAGAGTAGAGGCTCAAGTTGTAGGGAGAGAAACACTGAAAACTTTACACCCCCATTTAGCACATTTAAGTTTCACACTAGCATTCTTTAGCCAAAGCAAGGCACAAACTACCAGTACAGGACACTAAAGTGACTCCATGTGCCACTCAAAACATATAGAGTTTAGATTTCAGATGCCAGCTGTTGTAAACTTAAAAATCCAGACCATACTCATTAGAACCAATAAACTCTGCATTTGGTGCTTTACAATTTAAAAGCAGGACTTTATTACAAACTAGAGATGTTGTGCACCACGAGATGCTTAGGCTTCTTCCCCATTCAGATTTAAGCAATATTTAAAACTATCCCTGAGGAGAGTTTAGTTGAAGCTCTTTCAGATGTACATTAAGATGCCGTTGACTGTTCAACAGTAAAGACACTTAAACCAGTTCTTCTCCACACCATTTTATTTTGAGACATTCAACTTTAAACCAAAAAAAAAAAAAAACTACTCTACTTCTGGGTTTATCAACACAGGAATACTATACACTTTAAAGACAACATAAGCTTTTTGTGTCACAACACAAATACATTTCATCAAATAAAACTCTTCCCATGAAGCAGCATTACCAGACCTCTGGTAAACCAAAAACTTATTTACAAACTTGAGCTTTGTGAAGTTTTGAGCCGTGGTTCTTTTCCACTGACTTGATGACTCCTACAGCGACCGTCTGCTTCAGGTCTCTCGCCGCAAAGCGACCTGTGAAGAAGAGCCAGTCAAACGAGGGCACAACCAGGAGGATTCATACACGCAGAGTTGTGTACATGAAGAGATCTGTGCTTACCTAAAGGAGGGTATGTGAAGAAGCTCTCCACACACATGGGCTTGATGGGGACCAGTTTGACTGTGGCTGCATCTCCAGACATGAGGATCTGCGGGTGGTCCTCCAGCTTCTTGCCCGTGCGGCGGTCGAGCTTCTCCTTCAGCTCAGCGAAACGGCAGGTGACGTGGGCTGTGTGGCAGTCCAGAACTGGGGAGTAGCCCGCTTTGATCTTCCCTGGATGGTTCAGGATTATCACCTAAGACAAAAGCAAGGTTTAGCAGAAACAAACCAAAAAAGTGAGGCAATTTCTTCCTGCAGTGAACCAACCTGAGCGTCAAAGCTTTTAACATCTGAAGGAGGATCCTGCTGAGCGTTTCCAGCCACGTCCCCACGCCGCAGGTTCTTCACGGACACATTCTTGATGTTAAAGCCAACATTGTGGCCGGGCAGAGCCGTCTCCAGCCCCTGGTGGTGCATCTCAATAGACTTGACCTCTGCAGTGAGCTTGGCAGGGGAGAACGTCAGCATCATGCCAGGCTTCAGGACACCAGTTTCAATTTTACCCACTGGCACAGTCCCAACTCCTGGAGGAGTAAGAAACACTTCAATTTCAGCATGTTTACAGACATTTTCTACTCTAAAAACAATACTGTACTTCCTCTACTGCATTTTTCATAAATGAAGCTGTAATTGAGCTCAGACCAAGAAATCAAGCAGCAATTGACATCACCTCCAATTTTGTAGACATCCTGCAGAGGTAATCGTAGTGGCTTGTTGACTGTGCGCACAGGTGGTTGAATCGAGTCCAGGACTTCAAGCAGCGTCCTCCCATTTTTATTCCCTTCCCTTCGTCTCACCTTCCAGCCTTGAAACCACGGCATCTGTGCAGACGTCACTTTTACAGCATTGCAAGCCAACTTCTGGGGTTTTAAAGGCGAAAAAAAGCCTGAAAACATCTTTACCCTTTGAGATGCGGTGATCATGTTCTCCCCAGTCCAGCCCGAAACTGGAACGAAGGGCACAGCCGTGGTGTCGTAGCCAATCTTCCTGAGGAAGCCGCTCACCCCTCGCATCACTTCCTCGAAGCGGCTCTGGCTGTAAGGTGGCTCGGTCAGGTCCATCTTGTTCACACAGACTATGATTTGTTTCACACCTAGAGTATAAGCCAGCAAGGCATGTTCTCTGGTCTGACCACTCCGAGACACTCCGGCCTCATACTCTCCTTTGGCTGCAGAGACCACCAGGAGGGCAACGTCAGCCTGAAATGATATGAGCTTTAGAAAAAGGCAGCATTCATAGCAACAGATATTCAAGCACGCGTGTACTTCCTACCTGTGACGTCCCAGTTATCATGTTTTTGATGAAGTCACGGTGGCCCGGAGCATCAATTACAGTCATGATGTATTTCTGGGTGTTGAACTTCAGCAGCGTGATATCGATGGTGATTCCTCGCTCCCGCTCAGCTTTCAGCTTGTCCAGCACCCAGGCAAACTTAAAGGAGCTCTTCCCCATCTGGAAGTCAAGCGGAATGAGTTTAACACTTGAAAAGTTGGAAGTTTTGCAGAAATTGTTTTTGTTTTTACTCACTTCATTTGCAGCCTTCTCAAATTTCTCCAGCCTCCTTTGATCAATTCCTCCACACTTGTAGACCAGGTGTCCGGTGGTGGTGGATTTCCCACTGTCAACGTGGCCGATAATCACCACGTTAACATGAGTCTTCTCTTTTCCCATGGTTGGAGGCGGCGTTGCAAAACGTAATCAAAAGAGCTGCAGAGCTTCAGAAACTGTTGTTTTCTAGCAAATGGATCTGGCCATCCTCTTTGGAGAGCCTTTATAGCCCCCAGAGGATGCATAACTGAAGACAGGTGTGCTGCTTAATCAAGCTTAATTGGGATCAGTCACACTTTGATGACAAATAAATGCTGCTTAAAGGCAAAGTGGCTTTGAAGCTTGAAGTTTAAAGAATATATTGATCTGCTTTGTGACTGTAATCTGTATTTTTGTTTAAAGTCCCAATGTTTCAGCGCAATCTTTTGATCAGCGTGCAGAAACAGACCGTTACACTCGCTTCTCTCTTAGGGCCTCATCATGGATCCTTTGATGAGCTCAAATTACAGCCAGGTGAGTCTTTCTCTGGAGCTGGAGCTCTCTCAACACCTGTCTCACTCTTACTGATTGCTGAAGAGTGAACCGAACAGATAACCGGCACATTTAGTATCTGTGTCAAAAATATAATGACAAAAAGGATCAAATCCATCATACTGAGAGTCTGCTGGTTTGTAATGTAGTGGGAAGAGCGCAGCTGATGTTTTGAATGTATGGAGCTTAATCACAATGAGGGATAATGCTGATAAGCCATGTTTGTAGCTGTTTTAATAACTATAAATCATTAAACATTTTGGCAGGACGCTCACTTAATTTCAAATCAAACTAATGTTTTTTTGCTCAGTGAAAGCTGCTCCAATGTTTGAATGTGAATATATTAAAAACTACTAGAAATAAAAACATGAACTTTTCACTGGACTTTATTATCATCCAAATAAATCAGCATCTGTAATTTGGGACAAATACATTAAGATTTATCTGAGTATTGGCTAGTTAAAATATGAAAAAGAAGTTCCAGCACTCCAGCAAAGTCCTATATTTGAGCACACACTAATAAAAACGTTACATTACAAAAGATAATTAGTGACAATTTCTAAATGATATAAATGGTATCACAACACTACAAAATAAAGCACGTGGAAGCCTTTTTAATAAGAATTTCTTAGTCCGAAAAATTCAACTTTCATGCTGGGTTGAGCAAATATGACAATTTGTACCACAGAGACAAAAATATCAGCAGAAAGTCAATTTACAGATGGTACTCTAATTATAAATCAGAAAATATTTTTGTTAATATGTGCATTTTGTTTTAATTTTCAAGACCCGAGTTCATCATCTATAATCAATCAACCAGATTCAATTTCCATAAAAAACATTTTATGGTCCAAAGTTTGAGGGTACAGAATTTAACGATTTCTGTTCATTTTAACTTCACATACTAAATACCTTTCAGATATCTATTTTTGCATAAATGCGTGTCAACCCACTTTCAGGCCATTTTCCTTCCACAATGAGAAAAAAAAATGCCTGAAAGTGGGTCAACGGACCATTTAAATGTCAACACAACCCAGTAAGAATTCAGCAGGTGAATGATGACAGGGAATAAAAATCAAAATAATATATGTTACTGTGATTATGGAAAAAACTATACCAATAGTATATACCAAATTACTGCAGCTGTACTGCAGCTCTTGTGGGGTGTTACTGGTCTGCAGTGGTCAGTATCGATCAAAAGCGGTCCAAGGAAGGAACAGTGGTGAACCAACAACAGGTTCACTCCCCACATGGATCAGAGAGCCTTCTCTGATCCATGTGGGGAGTGAAGTGGTTCAATCCAACAGATGACCTACTGCAGACCAGTCGGGTCTTTCATCAGGATAATGCACAAAGCAAAGAAATGGTTCAGTAATGGTTTGAGATTTTGACTTTCCCCATATCTCAATCCAATCAAGCATTTGTGGGACGCTTACAAGACAAGTTACAAGACGTAAAGGATCTGTTGCTAAGATCTTGGCACCAGATACCACAGCACACCTTAAAGCACAGGTGTCGAACTCCAGGCCTCGAGGGCCGGTGTCCTGGAGGTTTTAGATGTGTCCTTGATCCAACACAGCTCATTTAAATGGCTAACTCACCTCCTCAACATGTTTTGAAGTTCTCCAGAGGCCTGCTAATGAACT